ATATATCTTGTAATTAAAATATAACAATAACAATAGAAACAAATAAATAAATACTTAGCTTATATATAAAGCTTATCCGATTGTAAAATTTAAATCAGTACAAGTTACCCAGACAAGCAAAATCGTGGGAACTATTATAAGTGTATTATGCCAAATAACTCGAATTATTTGGTGAGCCCGATCATAGTAGGATGCCGGATAACTCGAATTATTTGGTGAGCCCGATCATAGTAGGATGCCGGATAATTACTAGTATTGCGCAAATTGGAATAGTTAGCGTGTAACATATTGACGTTCTAGTGCATAAGACGATACAAAAATAGGCATAATCAAAAGCCTTTTATGTAACATATACATATATATATATATATGTCGTACGTAACGGTAAGTGGAATTGGGGTTAGGGTGTACATAAGATAAAATTAATACCGAAAATGGGGTTTTTTATATAAATTCTGAATCCACTTAAATTCCGTTTCCATTTACAACATATATCTGTATATATTATATTATTATTATTATTATTATTATTTATTATTAAACCCCTTTTACAGTTTGTACATTAATTAGTCTCATGATCATCAATTGACACAATTTGATACAAGAATGCAATTGCTAATCTCCACATTCTCTGGTGTTCTAATGTTAGTCAATTTGAATATCTTATAACTCGGCTCTCATCGCATATGTACCTACTTACATACATGTAACGTATTCTAACAATACAAATTCGAAAGCCAGGTAAGCAATGTGATTGATATTCGGAAATATCACTTTTTAGCCAGGTCTATAGCATACAATTAATAGCATATGCTACTTTAAAAATAGTAAAAACTCTATATTTAGATATACATTTTATGCACGTCTGCATTGACAAATGGGGGTTTGAAAAAAAATAAAATTTGTACAACGATTTAACCCGTGGGAATTTCCTGCGCCATTGTTTAAAAAAGGCATAACAAATCAGTAATTAAAGTGATCGTTGTTACTTCACTACCTATCCTCTTACTTTATTATTAATAAAGGCTCACTTTTTATATATTTACACATTCCTACTCTACATCAGATTTAGATATGATACATTATTAATCACAAAAATGTAGTAATAGCATATGAAAATTATTACAATAAATGTAATCAAAAAATATCCCCATAATAAGATTATGATGTAATAATTAGGCATTCACACACCGGTAATCCAAGGTTTTTTTATATTAAATTTTTATATCAGATTTTTATAATTGGCTATAAAAAATAATCAGTTTAATTATTTCAAGAAAACTTAACATCCATCTTTTTTATAAAGTTACTCCGATTAGATTATATTAAAATCCAAATTTCGCAGATGAAATTTTCGGAACAATTGTTATAGAAATCTGAACAGCATTTCGATCTCTGGTAAATCACATAAGGAGAACAGCTCGCATCTATATCGAATATAGATAGCAGTCGGTGAAACAAGGCGGATCCAAGTAAGTATTAATTATAACAGCAAAATGGATTTTTTTCCATTTTGAAAAATAATGTTAAAGTTGTGTAATATTTGTAAATTTTGGATCATATAAAATTTAATCTCTGAAATATGATGATTTTCAAATTAGTGAGCCAATCCAATTTATGAATTCTATGAATCTCGCATTTTACCATTGGTAAAACCAATAATATCTATGCAGGAAATGTTTCACTAATTACAATGATTTACTTTTGGATATTCTGAGTTCTAAATATATACAGTCAGGACTTTCTAAGGAGCACCTCCTTTACACTGGCAATAAGTGTGCATTCAAAGAATACTCTTATAAGTGTTATTTGTGGTTGGGACTGAAACACAGATATAGAGAGTGTGCGTTTGTAAAACGTGTATTTTAGAAAGCAGTCATTCATTAAAAAGTATAAGTAGAAGCATATGCCATTTAAAATATACATAACTCTTGTTATATCCGTAAAACCCCAAAAGATCAAGTGCAACCAGAAATTCGACTCAAAAAAATGTCGCGAATAGCTAAATAATTTAGGGCTATTCTTTTTTTAAAAAATAAAATTTATGAAGTGCATGAATTATATGCCGAATAACACTGACCCATAAATTTATCATAATAATTTTAGTTTAAATAATTTTTTTTTTTGAATCATATACATTAGAAAAAATTTTTTATCAATTTTTTATTATGAATATATTCTATAAAATACAAAATGTTGCACATTGTTCTACTTGTTGTGCTAGTATTGCAATAAATGTTGCATATTATACCATAAATCCGATGTGGAAAATTTTTGTCCTTACCTTACTTGAGAAAAGGTGATGCCTGACAAAGGTTTTCTGACATGACACATTTAAAAAATATCTACATAGTTCTACAAGTGATGTTTTTTCGGAACAATAATAAATAATAAATAGTTTAAATAATAAATAAGTGATTTGTAATAGCTTGCTTATCAATAGAATTCTAGATAACTGTAAGAAAACGTTGATACTTAACGCTAATTAATGTTAAGTCATTATATAATGAACTTTATGAGTACATTACCTATCTGTTTGTTTGTTAAAATTTTTATATAAAATATAACATATATATATAAATTATATAAATTACATAAATATATATACATAGCTATATATTTAACGAATATACATGCATGTACATACCGGGTGTCTGATAAGTCCCTAAACAGGACCTTTTTTATATCTCTGTTAGTATTGGTCTTTATTATGTAAAAAAATTATAGCGGTTACTAATTATTACACATTTTTTATATATTTAGTGATTTATTTGGTGATTGAAAAAAAGGACCCGGTATAATAGAATTCATACATATATATGTTATATTTATTTATGTAAAACAGGGTAATATTATGCAAGTTATAAAGCCTCCTTTGCCCTTTTAAAATGGCTCGATAAACGGATAAAAATTGTGATAATTGTGATATTAATAGTGTGACAGGTGTCTCCACATGGTTCACCTTTTTGGGAATATACCCAGTATTGTAAAATTTTATATTAATGATTGATAATTAAAAATATATAATACTTCCTCTCCAAGCCTTTAGCTTAGTTCTAGATGTCATCATCCTTTACTATTTGCATCGCTAGAATTCATCTGGATTATACCACCTTTGGCAATCATTGACATCAAACTAGTTAAAAATCAAACGTTTTTGAAATATTACACTTGGCTACAAATTGTTTCTTTTCTTTTTTTTCTTCTTTTTTTTTTTTGTAGCAAGTCGATCCCGTAAGCTTTTTTCCATGGCCTTTCCTTTCTATACTGATATTAGTTCATTGCTTTCATTACTATTATTATTATTATTATTATTATTATTATTATTTGTCTGGTGTTTGTTATGCGAGACTACTAATTTTAAAAAAAGATATCATAAATGCCTTAGTGGAAATGCTCATATTGATGATATCATTAGGAATACAATCTCATGCTGCCGATAATATGGCATATTTTGATACCATATGAAAATTTTGTCCGTGTTGAACAAATAGCGAGTGGTTCTTTCAGTACTACTTATTTAGGTTATTGGCTTGAAGGTCCTCGATGGGTATGGGATGAAGAGAGTGAAAGTTGGCTTAGGAATGGACCGACAAGATGTGCTCTAAAAAAAATAGGTAGTTCTAGTGAAATAAGTAGTGCCTATTTAAATAATGTAAGCATTTTTTTCAATTTTCACAATTTTTTTCCTATATTGTGATATTTTATTAAATGTCAAAAGATGTATTTTCTGTTATCGTGTCGTTTAAGTCCGATCACAGCATTTTTAATGGTAGGGTATGTATACATTACTAATTTTGCCTGTAAGTGAGTACCAACAAATTGATTAATACAGTAATTATATATTGTCGTTCCTATAAAATTCAAAAAAGGAAATTTTAACAATAATTATTGCAAATCAGCTTTTATTGTTGAAATTTCCTTTTTGAAATCTATCACCACTATAGTCGTGCAAAATTAGTAATCTCATGAGGTACGTACGTACGTGCCAGGACTTAAACGACCCCTTTCCAGTGAATATTTTCATTCGTGACATGGCAATCTGTTAATCCGTATCACTTGAGTAAAGAAAGGTCTTCACATGATTATAGCTGAATTTTTTGCACAGTACGTACGTACGTACATATGTGCTGTAGACCATTATCATTGGCAAAAAACAAAAATATTCTTCTTGATTGATCGGCAGTACTATTCTTGATGGAGCTAAAAAAAACTTTATTTGAGTACTGCTTCTGATAGGGTTCTAAAAACGAACCCTAATTAACTCTAATTCTTTTATACCGGGTTGGTGAAAAGTAACTGAACAGTGACCTTTTTTTTAATCACTATGATTATCATTTTAACGTTTAGTAATCATTGCAATAAATTAAAAATCATTACAATTTTTAATTTGCAATGATTACTAAACGTTAAAATAATAATCATAGTGATTAAAAAAAGGCCACTGTTCAGTTACTTTTCATCAACCCGGTATATTTTTTTTATATAGTAGTATAGTATTTTAGAGGCCCTTTTTTTAGAACCTTATAAATAACAGTATGTAAATCGATTTTTTCCTATACTAATTATCCATCAAAAATGGTATTTTTGCTTATAATTATCTTCCTTCACAACCATACCCAACATTAACTCTGCATCGGGGCTAACAGATAATAATTTCTAACATGTATTTAATTGCTTCTTCTTTTTTTTTTTTTAATATTACATTTTATATAGATTTTAAATTATTATAAGTGCATAGAAAATGGATCAGTGGCCGATTTCTTTGGAATGACATGTGACTCAGAGGGCTGCTATATGTTTGTTATGAAATTTTACAAAAATGGAAACTTGTATCAATATCTTAACGATGCTATGGGATACCTTTGTTGGAGAGATATTGTTGATATGCTTTGGAGAGTTGTTAATGGCCTTGAACGAATTCATGATCATGGACTTTATCATGGTAATCTTCATGGCGGTAATTTATTAGTGGAAAATGAACCTGAATCTATTGATATAAGAATTGCCGATGTTGGGTTACACGGTCCTCCTTCCAGAGAAATAAATTCTATAAATTATGGCGTTCTGCCATTTATTGCTCCTGAAGTTTTAAAAGGTAATGAATATTCGCAAGCCTCTGACATACAATGAAGGAAATTTAGTTCAAGAATTAGAGAGGCTAGGCATTGGTCGTCCTTCCACTTATTTATAGTTTTGGAGTTACAATGTGGATGCTATCAACTTGTATACGTCCTTTCTGTCAAGCCCCTCATGATTCTGAGCTTGCTTTGAAAATATGTAATGGTTATCGTCCAGAGATAGTAGATGGTACTCCGGAAGTATTTTCAACTTTAATGAAAAGATGTTGGGACAATGATCCAAATAAACGCCCGAAGGCTAGTGAATTAAGTGAAATTTTAAGATCTTGGGTAACAGCAATTTGCGATGATCCAGACCCATCTCAAATTTCAGAACAGTTCGATGCTGCTGAAGAAAAAAAGTTGTTAGATTTCGAAAACATCAATTTACAAACCCAGAAGTTCACCCTCTAGCAATATACAATAGCCGGCTTATTTGGCCACTTATTCCTCATTCAATGGATTGGAATCCGCATTTCGATTAACCGTATTAACTGCTCAATTAATCGTAACGATTTGAGCAACATTTCGATCATCAGCTAATAAAATTGGAAGGAGTTGCTTGAGAACATAACCGTTAACTTGCTTTCGTTTCGTTTGTAAATTTGCAAAACTATTATCGATATTTTTGGCGAAATCCGAAAAATCTGATGTGACAAAGAATATTTATGCAATTGGCAAAACCATTGTCGATATTTTTTGCGTGGCGGAATCCGAAAGATCTGATGTGACAAAGAATATTTTGCAATTGGCAAAACATTGTCAATATTTTTGGCGGAATCTGAAAAATTTGATGTGGCAAAACCATTATCGATATTTTTGGCGTGGCAAAATTCGAAAAATCTGATGTAACAACGAATATTTATGCAATTGGCAAAACCATTATCGATATTTTTGGCGTGGCGAAATTCAAAAAGTCTGAATATTTATGCAATTGGAAAAACCATTGTCGATATTTTTGGCGGAATCTGAAAAAATCCGATGTGACAAAGAATATTTATGCAATTGGCAAAACCATTATCGATATTTTTGGCGTGGCGAAATCCAAAAATCTGATGTGACAAAGAATATTTATGCAATTGGCAAAACCATTGTCGATATTTTGGCGGAATCTGAAAAATCTGATGTGACAAAGAATATTTATGCAATTAAGGTCTTTATGATTTCAAAATGAAAAAGAATTTTCTATTCAGATACTACGAGAGGTTTATACGAAGTAATAATATGCTGATCTTAAAATTTATAGTATCCTTACCTTATCCGTGTAAAAAGTATCACGCGAGCGTTATTAATTCTTTATTTTTTATATTGAATTCTTGCTTAAGTATTTTGTCTACCTTAGAATAAGAAGTATATTTGTAGTGTTGATAATTTATGTAAATATAAGCTTGGTCAAGTATTAGATTATAGTATTGATGACATAAGTAAGAAGGTGTATATCCATGATATTGCTCGTAAGAAATTTAGTTGCTTTTTCTTTGTGTAGCTTTGGATATCGTGGTTTTTAGTTGCAATCTGATGATATAGTACAAAGTATTAATAAATAGATAGCTGCGCAACGTCATCGCGCGAAACCAGGAACGGAATACTTAAATAATGGTTAGATTTTTGTAGATTTTGAAAGTAAATATTTAATATAATAATTTAAAATGATTTGGCACTAGAGCATGATGAGTTATCTGGGATATTGAATAAAAATTTTTATTCGGTAGATATTATGTAAACATTGATGGAAAAAATTACATATGATTGGCGCAGATGTTTATTAAAATTGTGTGATATATACAAATTGTAAATTTT